TACGGCCTTGAGTTAAACATAAATAAATGACTATACGATCGGTCTCTATATAGTATAAACAATTTTCGTTATTAATCGTATATACAGCATAATTATAATATGTACATATTAATTTTTATTCAGGTAGAAATATGCATTACGTACTTAAAGTAAATTTATGGCGATCGGATATCATTGTCATGGTTAGTAGTGTAATCGTTATTATTATTATCATTATTAGTGTAGGACCGAAAGTTTTTAAAAGGTCAGAAATTCCCCGCTGGGACAGCGATGAATTTAAGGACTTACAACGCTAAAATCCAGGGTTCGATTTATCGCTGTGGACACAGCAGATAGCCCAACGTTGTTTAGCTCTAAAAACAAACAAATAGGTCAGGATTTGTATATCAATCGTATGGTACCTAGGCTGTAAAATTTTGTAACTCTAAGAGCACCAACCAGTCTATGGGATAGAGTTATTTCATTGGTTAAAAACTAAGAATTGCAAAACACTTAAATACAATAGTTTAATGACTTAAAACAGTTTAATATGTTTATATAAAAGTTATTATAAAAATACGTTTCTTTTTAAAACACTGTAGTTGCTGCATATTTGGATTAGAATTTCGTTTAAACTCCTCTGTCTTATGAACTGTTTGGAAACAGTGGCTAAACTTTTCTGTCTTATGGAGTGTTTGGAAAAAGTGGCTAAACCTTTCTGTCTCATGGAGTATTTGGAAACAGTGGCTAAACTCTTCTATCTTATGAAATGTTTGGAAACAGTGACTAAACCATTCTGTCTTATGGAGTGTTTGGAAACAGTGGCTAAACTCTTCTATCTTATGAAATGTTTAGAAACAGTGACTAAACCCTTTTGTCTTATGGGAGTTTAGAAACAGTGACTAAACCATTATGTCTTATCTGGGGTTTGGAAACAGTGCTAAACCATTCTGTCTTATGGTGGTTGGGAAACAGAGGCCAAACTTTTCTGTCTTATGGAGTGTTTGGAAACAGTGACTAATCTCTTCTGTCTTATGGAGTGTTTGGAAACGGTGACTAATCTCTTCTGTCTTATGGAGGGTTTTGAAACAGTACTAAACCCTTCTGTCTTATGGTGGTTTGGAAATATTAACTAAACCCTTTTGTCTTATAGTGGTTTTAGGAACAGTAGCTAAACTCTTTTGTCTTATGGGGGTTTGGAAACAGTGGCTATATCTTTCTGTCATGTGAAGGGGTTATAGAAACAGTGGCTAAACTGTTCTGTGTTATGGGGGTTTAGAAACAGTAGCTGAATTCTTCTGTGTTATGATGGTTTGGGAACAGTGGTTAAACTGTTCTGTGTTATGGGGGTTTTAGAAACAGTAGCTGAATTCTTCTGTGTTATGGGGGTTTGGGAACAGTGGTTAAACTGTTCTGTGTTATGGGGTTTTTAGAAACAGTAGCTGAATTCTTCTGTGTTATGGGGTTTAGAAACAGTAGCTGAATTCTTCTGTGTTATGATGGTTTGGAAACAGTGGTTAAACTGTTCTGTGTTATGGTGTTTGGAAACAATAACTAAATTCTTCTGTGTTATGGGGGTTTGGAAACAATAACTAAACTCTTTTGTGTTATGGGGGTTTGGAAACAATATCTAAACTCTTCTCTCTTGTGGAGTGTTTGGAAACCGTGGCTAACTTCTTCTGTCTTATGGGGGTTAGAAACAGTGGTTAAACACTTCTGTCTTATGGGGGTTTAGAAACTGTGGCTAAACTCTTCTGCCTTATGGGGGTTTAGAAACAGTAGCTGAATTCTTCTGTATTATGATGGTTTGGAAACAGTGACTAAACTCTTAAACTATTAAATGATGGCAAACTGAAACGGCCATTTGAATAAACTCCATAGATACCTGCAGGCAGAAATAACTCTTAAACTATTAAATGATGGCAAACTGAAACGGCCATTTGAATAAACTCCATTAGATACCTGCAGGCAGAAATAACTCTTAAACTATTAAATGTATGGCAAACTGAAACGGCCATTTGAATAAACTCCATAGATACCTGCAGGCAGAAATAACTCTTAAACTATTAAATGATGGCAAACTGAAACGGCCATTTGAATAAACTCCATAAATACCTGCAGGCAGAAATAACTCTTAAACTATTAAATGATGGCAAACTGAAACGGCCATTTGAATAAACTCCATAGATACCTGCAGGCAGAAATAACTCTTAAACTATTAAATGATGGCAAACTGAAACGGCCATTTGAATAAACTCCATAAATAC